TTCCTGAAACAGCAGGGACAGGGCTCAGCCTCGCTGCAGCCACGGGACAAAGCAGCAACCCAAGGGAGACCCCAAAATGATCCCCTCCTCTCCACTGCTGACAACCTCAATCTACCTCCAAAGACTCAGTCTCTACCCACCAGATCATCCCAAGTTTAATCCCCTAAATTTTCCATTCCTGTCCACCCCTGCTCACCTCAATATTTTGCATTCCCTGCCCGGAGAGAATCAAACTCCATTTTAAGCCCCCAAAACTTCCTTACAAACCACACCCTTTCCGGCCCACACCTTCCTTGAATGGCCCCAGCCCCGCCCCGCACGTTCCTTTTATGGCGGTAGCCCCGCCCCACACCCCCTCTTTTTCTGGTTATAGCCCCGCCCCGCACCTTCCTTTTATGGCGGTAGCCCCGCCCCGCACCTTCCTTTTATGGCGGTAGCCCCGCCCCGCACTTTCCTTTTATGGCGCTAGCCCCGCCCCGCACCTTCCTTTTATGGCGCTAGCCCCGCCCCACACCTTCCTTTTATGGCGCTAGCCCCGCCCCTCATGCGCTTTTTATGGGTGCAGCCCCGCCCCACATGCGCCTTTTTCGGGCATATCCCCACCCTTCGTTTACCTTTTATGGCCATGGGCACGCCCCGACACTCCTTGTACGGACAAGTCCCTGCCCCTCGGCTCCTTTCATGGCGGCGCCCACCGCCCGTTCACCCCCGCCTTCCAGGCAGGATCGGGCACTCCCGGGTTTCGTCGTGCAGAAAGCCCCGTTCTTTTTGGAACCTCTTGCTCCAGCCTTTTTCCCTGGGCGAAGAGGTGAATTAGTCTTTTGAAGGACCCGATGGCCAGAGGTGGGGGAAAAACTAGCAGCATTCCCTAAACACCTCCAGCACTTCCATATCCATCTGCGACCAGGGCCAACCTGGGCTAGGGGAAGGTGTCCCTGCTCAGGGAGTGGGGCTGCATGAGCTTTAAGGTCCCTTGCAACCCGAACCACTGCAGGATTCCATCACCATTCCACCATTTCTCCCTGCATTTGTTGTGCATCGCTTCCTCTCTGATTCAAATTCTCCAGTTTGGTCGGTCTCTTAAAGGAATAATTTTAAGGTTATTCCGGGAATAAAAAGGGGAGTGGAAAACACACACGAATCATTCCTGCACCCATCAAATCCTTATTCATTAGGAGCACATGCCCTCATCTCTGTCCTTGTTTTTTTTTTCTCCTGGGAAACCTTATGGTCATAGATTTTTCCAAGAGAGACCTGGGATTACCACGTTTGCTCTGTAAGAGGCAGGAGAGGTTCAGAATACCTGTTCCTCTGCATTTTGCCAGTGGGATTTTCCCACTTTTCAGAGATCATTTTTGTAGCTGCCCAAGGAAATTTCTGGAGCTGACCCACGACTGAGTACAGAGTGCAGCACAAAGGAACAACCAATCTCCCTCCAAAATATTTCCTGCCCTCTACAGACAGCCTCAAGACTTATGTCCAATATTTTCCCCACCTGTCCACTCCTGATTCCCTCATTTTAACCCCAAAATGTTCATTCTGTCCCCTACATACTAACACAGATATGACCCCAGTGTCCATTCTGTCCCCTGTAGGTCTCTGGGGACAAAAGGGGGGGTCCCTTTGATCTCAGGGCCTTGCTCCTGACCCTCTCCAGGGCGGAAGAGCTGCAAATCCCAAGGCAGAAGGAGGGTGATCTGTCAGCCAAAGGCAGACAAACGGCTTCAGAAAAGATTTCTGCAACCTAACTGAGAAGGATTTCCAATCTCCCGGGGAGAAGAGCAGGAACTCACAGCCAACAATACCTGACAGTGCCCTGCAGCCACAGCTCAGCTCACGGACAGACTGGCAATTCCACCATCTAAAAGGAAACAAGACCAAGGAAATGGTGATTTCTTTGGCTTTCAAGTTATTTTCAGTTCTTAAAACAGAAGCAACACTTGCTTTGGAATTGTGTTGGGTGAACAATTGGCAGTGGGCACACGCCAGGGCAATAGTGCTGATTTCACTGATGCTCTCTGGGGCAGGAGCAGCTGAGCTCCTGAGTTCAGTTCCTGCCCAAGGTCTGACCCCAAAATGATCCCCTCCTCTCCACTGCTGATCACCTCCACATTTGCATTCACTGACCTGCAGAGAATCAAACTCCTTTTTAAGCCCCAAAACCCGCCTGGGCAGCCACAACTGATCACCTCTTTTAATTTTTAAGACAAGATCTTCATTCTCTCTCCCAGAGATCCCCTCAGATTTAACCCCTAAACTTTTCTCTTCCTGCACACCTCTGATTAACTCATTTTTACCTCCAAAGGTTCATTTTCTATCCTTGAGAGTTTCTCAAGTTTTACCCCCAAAGCTTTCCTTACCTGCCCAGGGCTGATGGCCTCACATTACCTCTCTCGGGTCGTTCCCTCCCCTACAAATAACATTCAGTTTTACCCCCACACTTTTCCTTCCTCTACATTTCCCATTTTAGCTTTGTTAACCCATAACTGGGGACACAGGGGGTCCCTTTGATCTCAGGGCCTTGCTCCTGACCCTCTCCAGGGCGGAAGAGCTGCAAATCCCAAGGCAGAAGGAGGGTGATCTGTCAGCCAAAGGCAGACAAACGGCTTCAGAAAAGATTTCTGCAACCTAACTGAGAAGGATTTCCAATCTCCCGGGGAGAAGAGCAGGAACTCACAGCCAACAATACCTGACAGTGCCCTGCAGCCACAGCTCAGCTCACGGACAGACTGGCAATTCCACCATCTAAAAGGAAACAAGACCAAGGAAATGGTGATTTCTTTGGCTTTCAAGTTATTTTCAGTTCTTAAAACAGAAGCAACACTTGCTTTGGAATTGTGTTGGGTGAACAATTGGCAGTGGGCACACGCCAGGGCAATAGTGCTGATTTCACTGATGCTCTCTGGGGCAGGAGCAGCTGAGCTCCTGAGTTCAGTTCCTGCCCAAGGTCTGACCCCAAAATGATCCCCTCCTCTCCACTGCTGATCACCTCCACATTTGCATTCACTGACCTGCAGAGAATCAAACTCCTTTTTAAGCCCCAAAACCCGCCTGGGCAGCCACAACTGATCACCTCTTTTAATTTTTAAGACAAGATCTTCATTCTCTCTCCCAGAGATCCCCTCAGATTTAACCCCTAAACTTTTCTCTTCCTGCACACCTCTGATTAACTCATTTTTACCTCCAAAGGTTCATTTTCTATCCTTGAGAGTTTCTCAAGTTTTACCCCCAAAGCTTTCCTTACCTGCCCAGGGCTGATGGCCTCACATTACCTCTCTCGGGTCGTTCCCTCCCCTACAAATAACATTCAGTTTTACCCCCACACTTTTCCTTCCTCTACATTTCCCATTTTAGCTTTGTTAACCCATAACTGGGGACACAGGGGGTCCCTTTGATCTCAGGGCCTTGCTCCTGACCCTCTCCAGGGCGGAAGAGCTGCAAATCCCAAGGCAGAAGGAGGGTGATCTGTCAGCCAAAGGCAGACAAACGGCTTCAGAAAAGATTTCTGCAACCTAACTGAGAAGGATTTCCAATCTCCCGGGGAGAAGAGCAGGAACTCACAGCCAACAATACCTGACAGTGCCCTGCAGCCACAGCTCAGCTCACGGACAGACTGGCAATTCCACCATCTCAAAGGAAACAAGACCAAGGAAATGGTGATTTCTTTGGCTTTCAAGTTATTTTCAGTTCTTAAAACAGAAGCAACACTTGCTTTGGAATTGTGTTGGGTGAACAATTGGCAGTGGGCACACGCCAGGGCAATAGTGCTGATTTCACTGATGCTCTCTGGGGCAGGAGCAGCTGAGCTCCTGAGTTCAGTTCCTGCCCAAGGTCTGACCCCAAAATGATCCCCTCCTCTCCACTGCTGATCACCTCCACATTTGCATTCACTGACCTGCAGAGAATCAAACTCCTTTTTAAGCCCCAAAACCCGCCTGGGCAGCCACAACTGATCACCTCTTTTAATTTTTAAGACAAGATCTTCATTCTCTCTCCCAGAGATCCCCTCAGATTTAACCCCTAAACTTTTCTCTTCCTGCACACCTCTGATTAACTCATTTTTACCTCCAAAGGTTCATTTTCTATCCTTGAGAGTTTCTCAAGTTTTACCCCCAAAGCTTTCCTTACCTGCCCAGGGCTGATGGCCTCACATTACCTCTCTCGGGTCGTTCCCTCCCCTACAAATAACATTCAGTTTTACCCCCACACTTTTCCTTCCTCTACATTTCCCATTTTAGCTTTGTTAACCCATAACTGGGGACACAGGGGGGTCCCTTTGATCTCAGGGCCTTGCTCCTGACCCTCTCCAGGGCAGAAGAGCTGCAAATCCCAAGGCAGAAGGAGGGTGATCTGTCAGCCAAAGGCAGACAAACGGCTTCAGAAAAGATTTCTGCAACCTAACTGAGAAGGATTTCCAATCTCCCGGGGAGAAGAGCAGGAACTCACAGCCAACAATACCTGACAGTGCCCTGCAGCCACAGCTCAGCTCACGGACAGACTGGCAATTCCACCATCTAAAAGGAAACAAGACCAAGGAAATGGTGATTTCTTTGGCTTTCAAGTTATTTTCAGTTCTTAAAACAGAAGCAACACTTGCTTTGGAATTGTGTTGGGTGAACAATTGGCAGTGGGCACACGCCAGGGCAATAGTGCTGATTTCACTGATGCTCTCTGGGGCAGGAGCAGCTGAGCTCCTGAGTTCAGTTCCTGCCCAAGGTCTGACCCCAAAATGATCCCCTCCTCTCCACTGCTGATCACCTCCACATTTGCATTCACTGACCTGCAGAGAATCAAACTCCTTTTTAAGCCCCAAAACCCGCCTGGGCAGCCACAACTGATCACCTCTTTTAATTTTTAAGACAAGATCTTCATTCTCTCTCCCAGAGATCCCCTCAGATTTAACCCCTAAACTTTTCTCTTCCTGCACACCTCTGATTAACTCATTTTTACCTCCAAAGGTTCATTTTCTATCCTTGAGAGTTTCTCAAGTTTTACCCCCAAAGCTTTCCTTACCTGCCCAGAGCTGATGGCCTCACATTACCTCTCTCGGGTCGTTCCCTCCCCTACAAATAACATTCAGTTTTACCCCCACACTTTTCCTTCCTCTACATTTCCCATTTTAGCTTTGTTAACCCATAACTGGGGACACAGGGGGTCCCTTTGATCTCAGGGCCTTGCTCCTGACCCTCTCCAGGGCAGAAGAGCTGCAAATCCCAAGGCAGAAGGAGGGTGATCTGTCAGCCAAAGGCAGACAAACGGCTTCAGAAAAGATTTCTGCAACCTAACTGAGAAGGATTTCCAATCTCCCGGGGAGAAGAGCAGGAACTCACAGCCAACAATACCTGACAGTGCCCTGCAGCCACAGCTCAGCTCACGGACAGACTGGCAATTCCACCATCTAAAAGGAAACAAGACCAAGGAAATGGTGATTTCTTTGGCTTTCAAGTTATTTTCAGTTCTTAAAACAGAAGCAACACTTGCTTTGGAATTGTGTTGGGTGAACAATTGGCAGTGGGCACACGCCAGGGCAATAGTGCTGCTTTCACTGATGCTCTCTGGGGCAGGAGCAGCTGAGCTCCTGAGTTCAGTTCCTGCCCAAGGTCTGACCCCAAAATGATCCCCTCCTCTCCACTGCTGATCACCTCCACATTTGCATTCACTGACCTGCAGAGAATCAAACTCCTTTTTAAGCCCCAAAACCCGCCTGGGCAGCCACAACTGATCACCTCTTTTAATTTTTAAGACAAGATCTTCATTCTCTCTCCCAGAGATCCCCTCAGATTTAACCCCTAAACTTTTCTCTTCCTGCACACCTCTGATTAACTCATTTTTACCTCCAAAGGTTCATTTTCTATCCTTGAGAGTTTCTCAAGTTTTACCCCCAAAGCTTTCCTTACCTGCCCAGGGCTGATGGCCTCACATTACCTCTCTCGGGTCGTTCCCTCCCCTACAAATAACATTCAGTTTTACCCCCACACTTTTCCTTCCTCTACATTTCCCATTTTAGCTTTGTTAACCCATAACTGGGGACACAGGGGGTCCCTTTGATCTCAGGGCCTTGCTCCTGACCCTCTCCAGGGCGGAAGAGCTGCAAATCCCAAGGCAGAAGGAGGGTGATCTGTCAGCCAAAGGCAGACAAACGGCTTCAGAAAAGATTTCTGCAACCTAACTGAGAAGGATTTCCAATCTCCCGGGGAGAAGAGCAGGAACTCACAGCCAACAATACCTGACAGTGCCCTGCAGCCACAGCTCAGCTCACGGACAGACTGGCAATTCCACCATCTAAAAGGAAACAAGACCAAGGAAATGGTGATTTCTTTGGCTTTCAAGTTATTTTCAGTTCTTAAAACAGAAGCAACACTTGCTTTGGAATTGTGTTGGGTGAACAATTGGCAGTGGGCACACGCCAGGGCAATAGTGCTGCTTTCACTGATGCTCTCTGGGGCAGGAGCAGCTGAGCTCCTGAGTTCAGTTCCTGCCCAAGGTCTGACCCCAAAATGATCCCCTCCTCTCCACTGCTGATCACCTCCACATTTGCATTCACTGACCTGCAGAGAATCAAACTCCTTTTTAAGCCCCAAAACCCGCCTGGGCAGCCACAACTGATCACCTCTTTTAATTTTTAAGACAAGATCTTCATTCTCTCTCCCAGAGATCCCCTCAGATTTAACCCCTAAACTTTTCTCTTCCTGCACACCTCTGATTAACTCATTTTTACCTCCAAAGGTTCATTTTCTATCCTTGAGAGTTTCTCAAGTTTTACCCCCAAAGCTTTCCTTACCTGCCCAGGGCTGATGGCCTCACATTACCTCTCTCGGGTCGTTCCCTCCCCTACAAATAACATTCAGTTTTACCCCCACACTTTTCCTTCCTCTACATTTCCCATTTTAGCTTTGTTAACCCATAACTGGGGACACAGGGGGTCCCTTTGATCTCAGGGCCTTGCTCCTGACCCTCTCCAGGGCGGAAGAGCTGCAAATCCCAAGGCAGAAGGAGGGTGATCTGTCAGCCAAAGGCAGACAAACGGCTTCAGAAAAGATTTCTGCAACCTAACTGAGAAGGATTTCCAATCTCCCGGGGAGAAGAGCAGGAACTCACAGCCAACAATACCTGACAGTGCCCTGCAGCCACAGCTCAGCTCACGGACAGACTGGCAATTCCACCATCTAAAAGGAAACAAGACCAAGGAAATGGTGATTTCTTTGGCTTTCAAGTTATTTTCAGTTCTTAAAACAGAAGCAACACTTGCTTTGGAATTGTGTTGGGTGAACAATTGGCAGTGGGCACACGCCAGGGCAATAGTGCTGATTTCACTGATGCTCTCTGGGGCAGGAGCAGCTGAGCTCCTGAGTTCAGTTCCTGCCCAAGGTCTGACCCCAAAATGATCCCCTCCTCTCCACTGCTGATCACCTCCACATTTGCATTCACTGACCTGCAGAGAATCAAACTCCTTTTTAAGCCCCAAAACCCGCCTGGGCAGCCACAACTGATCACCTCTTTTAATTTTTAAGACAAGATCTTCATTCTCTCTCCCAGAGATCCCCTCAGATTTAACCCCTAAACTTTTCTCTTCCTGCACACCTCTGATTAACTCATTTTTACCTCCAAAGGTTCATTTTCTATCCTTGAGAGTTTCTCAAGTTTTACCCCCAAAGCTTTCCTTACCTGCCCAGGGCTGATGGCCTCACATTACCTCTCTCGGGTCGTTCCCTCCCCTACAAATAACATTCAGTTTTACCCCCACACTTTTCCTTCCTCTACATTTCCCATTTTAGCTTTGTTAACCCATAACTGGGGACACAGGGGGTCCCTTTGATCTCAGGGCCTTGCTCCTGACCCTCTCCAGGGCGGAAGAGCTGCAAATCCCAAGGCAGAAGGAGGGTGATCTGTCAGCCAAAGGCAGACAAACGGCTTCAGAAAAGATTTCTGCAACCTAACTGAGAAGGATTTCCAATCTCCCGGGGAGAAGAGCAGGAACTCACAGCCAACAATACCTGACAGTGCCCTGCAGCCACAGCTCAGCTCACGGACAGACTGGCAATTCCACCATCTAAAAGGAAACAAGACCAAGGAAATGGTGATTTCTTTGGCTTTCAAGTTATTTTCAGTTCTTAAAACAGAAGCAACACTTGCTTTGGAATTGTGTTGGGTGAACAATTGGCAGTGGGCACACGCCAGGGCAATAGTGCTGCTTTCACTGATGCTCTCTGGGGCATCAAGGCTGGAGCCTCTTCCCTGTGGCTGCACACACCCCAAAGATTTGGCAGAACTTCTCCCAGTTCAATGCTTTGTCCTGTCCTGAAAGAGAGCAGAGGGAAATTCAGTGCTCTGTGGAAGTCAAAGGCTCCTGGCTCTCACCCTGCTGTTCCCATGGCTCCCCAGAGGGTTCATCCCCAAACACGAGGGGTAGCAGTGCAATAGCCCAGCAGAGGCCCCCATTTCAGGGGCACCATTTCCCCCCCCGCAGGGGGTCCCACCCGCGGCGCCCCCTCCCCACCCCGGGCCGTGTCCCGCAGTGCCTGCCCCGCAGTCTCCGCCTGGCGGACACGGCCGGTACTGCAGCCCCGACAGCGCCGCCGCCTGCAAAGGACCCCCGCGCCCCCGGGGCAGCTCCACAGCCCCCTGCCCTCTCTGCCGCACGGCCCCCGCCCGGGGCGCTCCTGAAACAGCAGGGACAGGGCTCAGCCTCGCTGCAGCCACGGGACAAAGCAGCAACCCAAGGGGGACCCCCAAATGATCCCCTCCTCTCCACTGCTGACAACCTCAATCTACCTCCAAAGACTCAGTCTCTACCCACCAGATCATCCCAAGTTTAATCCCCTAAATTTTCCATTCCTGTCCACCCCTGCTCACCTCAATATTTTGCATTCACTGCCCGGAGAGAATCAAACTCCATTTTAAGCCCCCAAAACTTCCTTACAAACCACACCCTTTCCGGCCCACACCTTCCTTGAATGGCCCCAGCCCCGCCCCGCACGTTCCTTTTATGGCGGTAGCCCCGCCCCACACCCCCTCTTTTTCTGGTTATAGCCCGCCCCTCCTTCCTTTTATGGCGGTAGCCGCCCGCACTTTCCTTTTATGGCGCTAGCCCCGCCCCACACTTTCCTTTTTTGGCGCTAGCCCCGCCCCACACTTTCCTTTTATGGCGCTAGCCCGCCCACACCTTCCTTTTATGGCGCTAGCCGCCCTGCACTTTCCTTTTATGGCGCTAGCCAGCCCACACTTTCCTTTTATGGCGGTAGCCCGACCCCGCACCTTCCTTTTATGGCGCTAGCCGCCGCCCTACTTTCCTTTTATGGCGCTAGCCCCGCCCGCACTTTCCTTTTATGGCGCTAGCCCCGCCCCGCACTTTCCTTTTTTGGCGCTAGCCCCGCCCCGCACTTTCCTTTTTTGGCGCTAGCCCCGCCCCGCACTTTCCTTTTATGGCGCTAGCCCCGCCCCGCACTTTCCTTTTATGGCGCTAGCCCCGCCCCGCACTTTCCTTTTATGGCGCTAGCCCCGCCCCGCACTTTCCTTTT